CTCTCCCCCCCCCCCCCCCTCGATGAGGTAATGCTTCTTGAGAATTTGAAGAAACATAGGCTTTCAATTGCAGTTCCTCTAACTGAATAAAAAAGTGTCGGGTTACTTCAGCATTAAAAAGGAGTATGTTTGATCTTTTAATTAGTAGTACCCATCAGAACATTTAATTAAGTGTATTGTAAGGAACAAATTGTCCATTACCGAATAGTAATAACCCACGCAAAATGAAAACAAATGTTGTGCAAGACTTCATACCATTGAAATGTATATATAATGGCATTGTTTGGTTTATTTTGTATGCTTCCTAGAATCCATTGTTTTAGTTTACATTATTTAGTAGGAATTTGGCACACATTTTCAACATCCAGCCTTCCACCTGGAAGAAAACTTAAAAAAAAAAAACCTTCCAAAAGAATTTGTAAACACCGTGCTAAAAAAGCAAATATTGTTTGCTTTTTTTTTTTAAAGGTGTTCCTTTTATGTTTTATTTGGTGGTCACGTGACCGCACGGCCTCCCTTCACTTCCTTCTTTCTCATAGTGGGGGGACATGTCTCACACACCGATTCATAAGTATGTAATCAAAACAAGTTATTGGAATATACCACTTGAATCTACAGCAGAACTGCTCTCTTCAGCTCCGCTGCTGTATCCCCTGAGAGTACCAGTCACATTGAAGAATCTCAATGTTTAGCCCTAAACCATCAAAAGAGAATAATGGCTCAGATTTTTTCTTTGCCATAGTTCTCTTTAGGGTCACAAGAGGACATATATACTAATGTCCTCCTATGACCCAAAACTCAGCATCGATCCAACCTGTTGCAGAGCCAGCTGTGCTCGCCCCAGTAGGCGCTGGAGGAACAGGGAGGGGAGGGGTAGAATTCCCTGCGGGAAGCGGTGACTAACAGTCACTGATCTCTGCAGATAGACGATCGGGAACTGGACGATTGGTGGTATGTTATCGCTCAGTTCCTGATCAATAGAGCCGACGTGTAACAACTTAAGCGTCACACGTTGGCTCTAATAGGGGGTGAGTGTAATTCGCTCACCCCCATAATTCTCCTTTAATACTTTTGCCTATAAAAAAAATCATATTTGCTCCTTTATGAAACCTTGCTTGCGTCAGCTGAGTCTGAAACTAAGGCCGGGTTCACACCTAGGCGTAGCGAATATGCGCGTTTCGTGCCACACGTTTTTACAGCGATTCGCGGTAAAAACCGCGTGACAAAGGCGCGTTTCCAAGGGCCCACTGGCTGTATCCCAATGAATACGCGCGGCAAATACGCCTCAAAGAAGCTCCTGCACTTGTTTAGGCGTAGGGCGTTTTGTAGAGCGTTCATACGGCCTGTAATACACCCAGGTGTGAACCATACCCATAGGAAATAATGGGATTTCAGTGTTGAAGCGTTTTGCAGAGCGTATTAACGCGCTACAAAACGCCCAGGTGTTAACAGGCCTTAGTGATTTACGATCACTTTAGGCTTGTTGCTTCCATATGATTTGGTCAAAGTACACAGTATGCCTGGTTTAGTAAGGTCTTTGAGAATGTTGAAGGTTCACTTCAGTTATTAAATCATGTGAAAAGAAAATACGTGTTTACTTATTTAGTCTGCACATGATTGGATAATTGTGGCAAGAATTTACAGAAAGTTTTGTTTGAACATTCTCAAATCCTTTTGTAAATTAGCCTTAGTCTCCAAACTCCTGAGAGTACATAGCAGTGCCAAATATCAGAGCCCCACATTTAAGAAAAATATAGATACCCATAGAATAATTGTCACCTATATGCTGGTAAGATTTGGTAAACTAGTTGCAAGGTTGGACAGTTGCCAACGCAGCATTTTAACTTCAGATGACCTCTGTCCCTTGATACTGAAGCTGAAGTGTCAGACACATATAAAGGAAGTAAAATCTAAAGACTTGCACACATGTTTCATAAGTTAGCGTGAACAGTTTATAATTTTAGATCAGTTGTTCACATTCCTGTGTAAAGTATATGTCATGAAGAAATTATGTTGCCTTCTCTTATTTTACTTTTGGGACTACTAGTCCCCTGGCGGCCAGTCCTTTTACTTTATATTTTCTGTTTTGAGTCATTGGCCTGGAACAAATAAGGAGATAAGAAAGTCTCTCTTTTTTCTGACGCTCATTTGCAGCATGCTTCATCCAGGTCTGTAAAGTATTGAAGACTGACACAGCTAGGCAGCTAGGATTTTCAGAAGGGTACCAGCAAAATAAGCCCTGTACTACAGGTGTACCTAAAGCCTGGTCATTACTGGCACTCTTTAAAAGATAATTATGTTTTTAACTGCTTTTTGGTGTTTTGAATAGGGCAGGTATTTTAATTGTGCAAGGTATAAGCGTTGTTTCCATTTCGCTATCTGCTATTTGTACTGCATCTGCTATGTGCTTATCACTGTATGCCCAAAATATTTTACCTGTTTAATGCCTATATAACCACTTAAGCAGCTTTAAAGTGTATCTAAAGCCAAAACATTTTTAGTTTTGCGTAAGTGGGAAAGGTTTAGAACCCTTGATGGAAAAAGTGCAACAGAATCCTCCATCTACGCTAAACTGTGTGGATGGAGGAATCTCCCACTGGGCCAAGCTTCAGTATCTTGCTAGTCGGCCCCACTGGCTCTAAAAATACCTGAACAATGCCTTCATCCAATCAGATTGTTCAGGTGTTTTGAGAGCCTGTGAGGCAGACTAGCAAGATACTGAAGCTTGGCCCAGTGGGAGATTCCTACATCCACACAGTTTAGCGAAGATGGAGGAATCTGTTGCACATTTTCCATCTGACCATAGAAAATTTGCAGATAACTATAGGTGTATGACCAGCTTAAGAGGAGATTTCCTCTCGGTGTATGGAACAAAAAGTAAAGAAATCTCCCCAGCGGGTAACAAAAGGCAAACATAACATGGCAGAAGTTTTAACCCTGCCCTTCTCTAGCCAGATGGGACAGGATTCAGAGTTTGACATGACATATACTTTTAAGCCTTAAGGAAACACTGTCTGCAACTTATGTATTTCACTGCACATGTTTTTTTTTTCTGGCTTTGCAGTTAATACAGTCCTGAGTAACAGGTGGATCATTACACTGTTTTACAGAATCTTGAGTCCAGGCTTAAGGTTATTTTACCAGATGACATTGGAGGAGCACTTATGGATGGAGTTGTGTTATGCCATCTTGCCAACCATATACGACCCCGCTCAGTTGCCAGCATTCATGTTCCGTCACCAGCAGTGGTAAGATATTATGTTTATACAAGCACCCCAATTTTCCACTTCGGCTTATTTATTACCTGAGAGGGTGTTTCCACAGTCAGCTGTAAATCTGCTCCTCGATGTTTGTATCTACAATATAGCCGTATACAGTATTTTAACACACTTCTTTGTAGGAGCACTAGCATATTGGTAAGTAACCTTTTTTAAAGCCCCCTCACTCTCCCAGTGTGAGTTTTGGTGTATAGGGGCATATTCTGCGTTTAGCTACACTACAGCAGTCAGGACCTGTTGTAGACGATCTACGCACTGCACTTCATGTGCCCATGGGTGCACAAGTTTCATGTTTGCACTATGTAGCAAGGCAGGCCTTTTCTAATGCTCTGAATCAAAGTAGTGTTGAATACGTAACGTTAAAAGTTGTATGTCGGAGCTTGTATATATTGTAGTAAATTCTGGTGATACCTGTAGATCCAATTGTATTGGAATCAATGTAAATCATGTGTGCTGTTGTACTGGATAATAAAATAATGGAATAATTAGTGTTTTTATCTGCCTGGAGTTTGGCTTTAATGTGCCAGCTCACATATGTCTCAGGATTCTTAATGTTGGGTATGATTTTCAGGCTATCAACATGCATTGGAAACCTATGCATAATGAATGCAGCGCATGTTAATGATGTACATTAACATACTCGGTATAGATGAATGGGCCCTTAAAGAGTGCTTATGTTATGAAAAAAGTGCTACTAATTGCATACAAAGAAATGTATGCACACTTACCTACACCTGCACCAGAATTGATATATTTGTTAGCCCCTGTTACTGTATAATATTGAATATAGCGTGCGCCACATATACCACTTGTGGCCAGCAAGTGGTAAATTTCAAACAGCGTTCACATTCTTCTGCTTAAAAAAACCAACTCAAGTTGTCTGAGGGACACACCCATTCCCCTTTGCCTATCTCAGACCGTCACTTCAGTTATACATATGCTTACAACAAGCATACAGGTCTTAAATAACAGTTCTTAGTTGCAGGCACCTGTGTCATTATTCAAATTGATACCTGTGTCCTTTTTGAAGCTCCGGGACTCCAAGCTAAGTTGCACATAAGGCCTTGACTGCTGCACTAGATAAGATTAAGCCAAACCCTTTAAGCTCTAAGCCCTATCAAATTGTTAAATGTTAGAAATCTAGTTAGGAACAGTGACTCTGGCATTTGATAGTTGAAAGACCAGGAATGGAATTTGATCTGAACATGGACAGACGGCAAGGCCCCATGTACAGCCTGGGCCTAGGATCTAAGGAGCTCCATGGGGATCATCTTGAAGGCTTAAAAAGGAACATGCAGGCAACACAGGGTATTTGGACCTCCATACTTTTACCTTAGGTTAGGTTCACTTCATGGTTCAGGTTCACTTAGTTAGGTTCACTTCATTTATAGCAATCTTTACCTGATTAGTGGGTGTCACCAGATTTGTTAAAGGTGATGGGGTGCCAGTTTGCACTCATTGTATATAACTTGTAGTGTATCCAGTCTTACATAAGAGCAGACACTGCATGTTATTGCCCTTGTTAGCTAGCTAGAAAATCCCAGCTCTTGCTGTGAAGTCCTTAAAGGAGAACTATTAGGTGAGTAAAAATCACTCATCCTCATAGTTCGAGCCGACTTGTGACAATGAAGCTGTCGCACGTCAGCTCAATAGATCGGTAAGCTAGCGAACACATGCAGCTGCAGCATTGCAGCTGTAGCTCGCAATATACTGAGCTTTGGGTCACGGGAGAACCTAGTATATGTCCTCCCGTGACCCTTAAAAGAGAACTATGGGGTAAGTGTTTTTTCTCCATTGTTCTCTTAACTTCTGTAACATTAGATCTAAGACAGTCCTACAGACATTACAGTACATTACATACAATAAACCTCACAATGATATATCTGTGTATAGTCACTGAAATAATAAAATACATTCTCTCTTATTCATGTGGGTCATAGTGATTGTGGTCTTTTTTTCAGCAGTGGAAGAAAAGCAAAAGTGTAGCCATCTCTGGGAAAACATTTAATGCACAATGCTTTCACAGCTTTACCCAGTAAATTGGATATTTGGAAAACTGATTAGGAAGCAACATTTTAAAAGAGAGCACTAGGCCAGCGATTGTGTGAAGGGTCATTGGTTCAGTTACTGGGAATAAACAATGAACCCTCTGTCACAGAATGTTAGCGCTGCAACTGAATTTTGCAGCTTAAACAGTTTGAAGAGCTTAGAATTCCCCTGTAAACCAGGCGTTTCATCTCAAAGTATATTATAAGCTTTCAAGTACATGTCTAACTTTATGAATGTGAAACTGTAACAAAGGGTTACTGGTAGTATTGCCTAAGAAGTTCTGTAAAATCAAGAAATGCATGTTCTCTTAGAAGCAGTAGCCCTAAAAAAAAAAAGTTTTTCCAAGTAGATGGATGTATTAAAGTAGAGGAACCAGTCAGTCCAATCAAAAAGTCAGATACTGAAATTATATTACAGCTCCGACCTATGTGCCTTTTTGATCACTTGGTCAGAGTTAGCGTGCCAAAAACAGCCCCTTCCTCCTATTCGCGATGCTGTGGCCTGCGCATGGCCCAGCACTGTCTGGAGCCAACAACTTTGCCTTGGTACTTTTCCGACACGAATACCTGCTATAGAAATGAATAGGGCTGTCTGGCTATACTTTTGCCTGCGGGCCGAGAATGCCTAGGCGGGCAAAGAAATACACATACTAGTCACTTTTATTTTCCGTTACCCTTTTTAGAAAATTGGCCATTAAACAAGATACCAGTTTCCTAACCCTCTGATGTAAGCTGCCATTTTTTAGGTTTTAAAAGCTGCATTCTAGTTTTGGCACAACAGCTTCTCTTGCACTGAATCTGAATAGCATTGACTTCAATCTCAAAAACAATCCTTTCCAGGTTACTTGTATACAACTCTGCAGCCTACATTGCAAGGTTTATTCTGTTTTGCCTCTTGGTTGCAGGGAAGTGATGGTTTGCTTTGTGGTTGTAAATACTATCTGTTTGCAGATTAGTTGTTGCCACCTCAGACTTAATGACGTTCCACTTAATATGACGCATTACCTTTTTTAATTCTTTGTCTTTAAAGCAACATGTTCTTTATGAGCTGTTCCTTGAGGCAAAATGAAGCCTTCTAATGACAGCTGGCAGGATTCCAGGAGTATAATGGACTTGACGTCTGTAGTAAATTTAGCCACCTGTTTTGTGAGAAAAGGTAGTTCTATGGTGTAATCGTGGAGATTTATGAGAGACAGATTTGCTATATGATTGCGATTCATAAATAACCCACTGTCCTACTCAAAAGTATTATAAAACATATCCCTGACCACATATTAAGACTGTGCTTGCATCATTTGTACACTTTTTTCCGTTATTTCGTACTTTTCCAGATTGTAGGGCTCAATGAAAAGCTGCTGGATTTGTATAAGATTGGGTCATAATTACAGTGAAATCTTGCTTGATTAAGACTAAATGGGCCAGTAGGTTGCTTTGAAAGAGAACCTGACACTTTTCCTGAATAGGTAAGTTGACAGGGTCTCTTTTAAAGTTTTTAAAGACTTGCTGGGGTCGGTCAGTTTGGATATAAATCTAGTGACAGGAGTTGTTGAGTTGTTGAGATGTTGTTGACAGTTAAAGGATCCCCCTGTCTCCCCAGCCCTAAAATGGGTGATTATTTTTTTTTTGTGTGTTTTAAGAATCAGCATTGTGTATTTGCAAATTAACTGAATGTGGATATTGTATATATTTTTAGCCTAAACTCAGCATGGCGAAATGCAGACGTAATGTGGAAAACTTCCTGGAGGCATGTAAAAAACTTGGAGTCCCGCAGGTGAGTCCCCTGTTCTTACTTTTCTCCGGTTACAAATATGAATTGTGTATCAGTTCTACTGCCTGTGTTGTGCTGGAATCATTTTCAGTGCCTTGGCTTAAGCGTGTATTCATATTTGCAGGTACTTTTATGTCCGAGCTTTTCTAGAATGTATTTAGAGTTTGTTTAAATTTAGTTTACATCTGTCACTCTTAAACGTATGATATATATTTTTTTAGTTTTTCTGTGTTTTCCAGCTTTAAAGCAGATATTGCACTAGAAATACAAAAGCTGCTCATTTCCCCAGGCCCCCCACGCCATGCCAAAATGCTGAATTCGAATTAAGTTATCTGTGGGTGACAAAAGATAGCTGATATACTTTGTCCCAGCTTCCTCCACTGTTCCTGCATGAGGGTGACTTCAATGCCCTTCCAGCAAGATCCTGGAGAATACCAGGTAGCTAAAATGTGGTGCTTTTGCACAGTTCTGGAGCATCATCCCATGAGGTCTGAGCTACTCAACATGCTTGGGATCTTGTTGGGAGGATGGTGAGGTCACCCCTGCAGTAGAAAAAAAAAAGGCAGGGATAAGGTAAGTTTATTACCTAACTTTTCTGACCACAGTTTTTTTTTTTTGTGTTTTTTTTATTTGTAATGCAGCTTTATGGCACAAAGGGCCCTCATTAAATAAGTTAGTGGCTGAACTGCACTTGATTGCATAATGAAGTCTCCTGCGTTCTGGGGCGGGAAGGGGCATGGCAGTGCCACTCAAGTCAATGGCACCGCAGTGCAAAACACTATTTTTTGCGATCACATGGAGGCTTGCTCAATGCGATCCAGTGCATTTCCACCAAAAATCGTGCTGGAACGCACTGGATTTGGTGTGAACAAGCTCTAAAACTTTTCTAATGTACCGGTTAGCCTTCATATTGTTCTGCTGACCCACCTTGTATCCAAGTCTCAGGCTTTACATGGTGCCTCAACGTCTGGCAAGGTTGACACCTAATATTGCTCCCTCTCCTTGTTAAGCCCCATCCCTATCATTCAATAGTCAAATACCTGAGCCTTTACTGTACACTGAAATCTGACAGTTGAAACAAGAGTAGGGCTTAGCACTGGGAGGGGTTGGATGTAATATTGAACACACCCCACATACAACATTGGCCTGGGATGCATGTGGGCTTCAGAAGGACACAGGGATTTCTGTGAAGACTAATGCAGGTACTGCACTTCAGCACTGTTACATTAGAAACATTTAAAGTGAAACCAAAGTGAAAAAACAAATTGCTGACAGTTCAGCTTTTACTGCAGAAGACTTTGTATGTTTCCTTTGCTGTAAAACTGTCTGCCTTACCTGTCATCAATGTGATGTGCATCTTTGTGTATATTCTCAGCATGCCTTTGATGCAGGATAAAGTAAGACCCATGCACAGGTGCTGGAGTTGCGTTATCCAGGCCTGTTCGATCACGATGGCTAAAGACCCCAAACCTGTAAGATGATGATGGAAAGATGTTAGCAAGGTAGACAGAACTATGAGGAAGATTGCAGCTGTCAAAACTCCTGAGCACTAGCAACAGGCTTTAGTTCCACCATAGGCCCATGTCCCTGGAGCCTTGAAAAAAAATGGTGGGGTTTTTTTTGTTTTGTTTTTTATTGGGTAAAATTGACTGCCGCATATACTTTTAAAAAAATAAATTCCTAGTAAATGTAAACCTTTCTCCTTATGTTTTAGCCCTAAAGAGATTTTGTCACTTTACCCATTTAGGGGAAAATGGCAGGTCCTCTTGTAAGAATCCTCTACCCCCCACCCTCTGATACTCACTTTCTCCATGCTTCTGTTGGATCCCTTGGTAATGATTTCCCAGGGTGTAGTGTTTGGGTCTAACACCTCCCAGGGTGTAGTGTTTGGGTCAAAGTGGTCAGTCACCATTGCAATCCAATCCTGACTGCAACAGATCATAGAACTGGGGAGGAATTCTTGCATGAGAACATGACATTTTGCCCTGAGTAGACAAAGGGGCCATCTCTTTAAATACTTGAATTACATTTCCAATTCAGATTTTGTATGTCCACCCTCACTCTCCTGATGTGGCCACTTGAGATTTCATCAGTCTGTTCTTTATTTACTTGTCTTTGTTTCTTTTCCAGGATAAGCTTTGTTTACCCCACCACATCCTGGAAGAGAGAGGATTAGTAAAAGTTGGAATAACCATTCAGGCACTGTTAGAACTTCCGCTGCTGCGAGCTTCACAACTTTCTTCAGTTTAACCCCAAATGTGGTACTGACACTATAAGGACTCGTTCTCAAGCCTCAAGTATGGACTGTTCTCTGAGATTCCCGCCTCTGAAGTTACGTTAGCCCTAAAAGGGAATTGTGCACATCTACTGTATTTTCACTAATTCTAGTGAACCACAGTGGTATATTTTTAGACATTTGACATATTTTAAAATGTTCCTGTCTGTAAAATGCATCTGTGGGGTGTCTTTTTCTGCATTTTTGTGTGTATGTGAATATGTGACATTCATAAACACACAGTTTTAACAGCATAAAAGGTCAGCTGAAAGAGAACCGGTTAGTTCTGGCCATAATTATCCCTTGTATAGAATATAATGCCCTGTGCAGTTGGGCAAATGCACAGCAGTTCTTTTGGAATAGTGTTACCATCCACGGGGGGGTTGTCCAAGCTTTTATCGGCTTACCCTTGCAGTTGTAGTGTATAAGCATCTCTTGCTCAGCGTTTGAGGTACAAAAGTCCCGGTAAATAAATGCTCCCGCAGATAGTTACTGCCAGCTATGTTACACTTTTGATCTGAATCTGCACACAATGTCATTAAGGTGTCACAGAGCATTGAAAACTGTTTTTAGCATGAGATGAGTGTTTTCATTGGTGGACACCTTCACAGTGAGTGCTAAGCTTAGAAATGCACAAAAGGCTGCAGGTCTAGTGTGGGACTCCTCTCAGCCTCCTCTGAGAACAGGCCCTAAGCCAGCATCTGCTCAGCAGAAAGCTTACAGGATCTTTATATAAATGCAGGTACTTTGATATTGGGTGTGAGTATTGCTTTCAGCAGACCCCTAGTGACCATATGGCCTTTATAACTTCCTTGCTGAGCAGGGGAGGGTCTTGAAATGACTCTGTTGGGGAGGAAAGCCAGCCTTTAAATCCAGTTAATATTTACTTTGCTGAGGGCGATGTTTTAAATCATGTAGTGAGGTATATTAGCTGGAAAAACCACAGCACTCAATGGAGGTCATGCTATCGGACACTTCTGAAAGTGTCAGATAGCAACAACACCCAGGGCTGTTCAAGAGAGCAAGTATTTCACACACCCTTACCAGAAAGCTAAATATGAAGCTTTGTCATCTACTGGCTCTGTTTTTAACCCACTATTGACAGGGTCACTTTAAACTTGTTATTTCTGCCCAATTAAGTAGTGCACTAGGCATGATATAAATGGCTACTGTGACTGAAACTGACAGATTCTATTTGGATTTCCTTATATTATAGTGCTGTAGAGCAGTGTAAATAATCCGAGCTAGTCCTTGTTTTTTTTTCTTTTTTTTTCCACCAGTGAAATCAGTTTAACAGTGATTCATTTGAGTTATTTATTGCACTCACAGTAATTTATATATATATTTTTGGCATCTTCAGTATTTTGATTTTGTGACCTTTAGTGACTACTAAAAAAATCAACAAACTGACCTAATTTCTCTGGGTTTTATATATGTATATATTTGTAATTTTTACGTATTATTTTTATAATCTGAGTTGGTGCCAAAATATGATTTTTTTTTTCTTCTGTTGTAGACTGTTTACATGTGAAGTGCCTGTGTAACTGACCTTTATAGAGTCCAAAAGTCCAAAGTTCCACAACGTGAACGGAGACTTCCTGATGTCAGTTTTGTAGTGTCAAGAATTTAACAGGGTTTCACATATTGTTTATTTAATTTTTGTTACTTTTGGATTACTTTGTAATGTCGCATTTACTTTGCTGACTGAGCACTGGATTTCCATTGTAAATATTTTTTTTTATTATAGTCTTTAAGGTAAAATTATGTTTGAAGACTAGATCTTTGATTTGCTCGGGTAAAGCTTCTTAATGCATTTCATTACTGGAACTAAAGACCTTTTGTATATAAATAATCCGCAATCTGCGTGCATATTTAAGAGTTACATTTTTGCCTATTTATTTGTAAGCGAAGCACTGAGTGAAGTCTGCTGTGTGGGAGAAAAAAAAAAACGCATTTCCTAAAGTGTCCCAAGGGGAGAACTGTTAGCTAGCAACCTGTTTATCTTTTCCCTTCCATGAATTAGGAAAGGATATTGTCATCAAATAAGGAGCTGATAATGTCACTGAATTAGGGCTGGATAAATCTCAGGAGCCGGGTAGGCACTGCTCCCTAAAAATTAAAGCAGCTGCCTAACTTTTGAGGTTTTCTCAAATTCTCAATGGAGCTGGCTCCTAAAAAAAAAAAAAAAAACCCTTCTGCCTCCTGGTTTGAACAGACTGGCTCCTGAATTCCTTATTTATTTGTCTACCCCTGCACTAAATATAAACAGTTATCACTTACCTTGCAAAGCCAGAACTGATATTATGCAGTTTAGGGTCTTGCACTCAAAAACATTTTGTGTATGCCTATCGCCTCCAATGGTAATATATCTTTGTAGCATGAGCATAATGGCGGCGTTGCCTTATGTTTTATCATTTAGAATGAAGTCTTTTACAAATGCAACTCTAAGTTAGCACTTAACTTTGTGCTGCTAAGGAATTAAAGATCTTGTGACATGGGGGTAGACTGACCAGACAAGAGACAGAGGAAAAAGTATGTTTTTCTTCTCTAAAGCCATTTTTTGTATGCGTGTTAAATCTCTTAAAGGAAAAGAAAACTTGTTATGAATGAAGCATACAGACCTCTATTGCTGATTGCTCCTTTTGCTCCTTCTAAAAATGTTGGTTCTTTGTCTGTCAGAATGGCCATCTTTCTTCTCTATTTTGGTGACCAGGAAAAAGTATGAAGATGAGGACTTCTGACTTTCTTGATCTGTGTATTTGTTATGGGTCAGTGACTCAAGGTATTAGAACCAGTAGTTCAGCCAAACAGCCCAGCAACTAGTGTTTTTAGAATTCAGGGATTCTCTGTACTTTCTTCTTGACAGGTTTAGAATGATATTTCCTGTAGCATTCTGGTTATCTTGTTGTTAGTAAATCTACTTCAGTCAGTCTTGTTCATGGTTAGGGTAGTATCTTAAAGGTTTAGGAGGTGTCTTGTAACTCAAATCCTTAGTTACCAACAGTGCTAGCTTTCCTGATCATTTCACAGAATAAAACTACAGATACAGTATTTAAATCATGTTCTTTTTTTTTAATGACCACAAGAAACCAATTCTGAGAACCTTTTATACAGTTCCCAGCATAACTGTTTAGACTTTGATACACTCCTTAGCAGAGATAACATAACCAAACTGTTGTGTGTCATTTTAAAATCTAATCACATTACTAAATATATAAGGCTTTAGTCACTTGATCAGCGACTTTGGCATACTGTAGCAGTGGTTTATACAGCAAATACGTCATGTCTTCCAGTGGAAGGAAGAGAGGAGTGTAGGGAGGGCTTTTTATTTTACTGGTTTGCATGTTTTGTTGGTTTGTTTTTTTTTTTGCTTCGATGCAGCATTAATCTGAACATGTTTTAACATGCTGTATGATTTTCTTGATATTTATCAATATAGATATATTCAGCTTAGTTTTTAGTGGCGTGAATTTCACTAGCATTCCTTTGAGATTCTGGTCCATGTTGTCATGATCGTATCACACCATTTCTGCAGATTTGTCAGCTGCACATTCATGCTGCAAATCTCCTGTTCTACCACATCCCAAAAGTGTTCTATTGAATTTAGATCCAGTAACTGGCCTACGATCTGTGCATCTCAACAGAAATATAGATTCATCGGACCAGGCTGCCTTTTATCGTAGCCTTTCTGTTGGTGTTAACCAGTCTGCCCATTCTCTTCTGACCTCATCAACAAGGCATTTATGTCTACAGAACCATCGCTCACTGGATGTTTTTTGCACTATTCTGGGTATACTCTAGAGACCATTGTGTGTGAAAAATCCAGGAGATCAGAAGTTACAGAAATACTCTAGCCATCTCTTCTAGCACCAGCAATCATCTCATGGTCAAAGTTGCTGAGGTCACATTACTTAAACATCACCTTGACTGACCCTGCCGACCTGTATCTACATGATTTTATGCATTGTGCTACTGCCACATGATACTTAAGTGAATATGCAGGTGTTCCTAATAAAATCGCTAAGTGTGTATGTACACACGGTTAGGAGTGACAGAGATGCACCTGCTGAGGAAAGAGGTTCAAGCAGTTCTCCCAATGAACCCTGCAGTAATAGCCAAAAACAGTTTAGAACTGCAGCACCCAAAGTGTATTTTTGAATAAAGAAATTCAAATTTCTTATGTTCACAACATCGCAATGGGCCTTCACCCTTTATCATATCATGTTTGGCATACCATATATTTCTTGGAATACACGCAGATACACACACACTTCTATAGTAAGAAATACTTCTAATGCCATGTTGGGTAATAAAGAACCCTACATAAAACTGGAGGAAAGTGAAATAGAACTCCCTACCTTTCCTCTTTCTAGTGCATGTCATAACATAAATGCAAAAAGTTGGTTGTAGTTGGTATCCACTTTTCCTGCATACAATACCCTTCTGCACAGTCAAGGTGAAATCTGCTTTCACTACCTCCTGAATAAATTCATGCAGCTCTGTATTCTGACAAAAGTAAATATATAGCAGAACATTTTGTCTTGTGATTCCAAGTAATAAATATTTTCTTTTAGTGATCTATCACACTGTCTTTCAGCATTTTTTTAAATTAGTATTTTAATTTGTGCTCTAACTTCACATCAAGCAAAAGGAACAACAATATGAATTACTTGAAGTGTCTCTGCAGAAAGACTGGTATTTGTGCTCAGATTATGCGATCAAGTTCTTCCGTTGCCTCCACATAATATACCTGTGCAGCTTCCTATGGTGTTTCCTCCATGAAAGGGAGGTCACATGCCACCACCCTGAATCTGTTTGCAACATGCGGAGGACTTGAGATCTACCACAGGTGCCAGCAGAAGGGTCAGAGTTTTAAGATTCAGGCTCACAAATTGCTGCTCATACTTGTACAATTCCACCAGATTGTGTGGTTCTAATATAGTTGTATAACTACAGCACTTGCTTACAACCTGTGACAGGATTTGCCATGCATCAGAAAAAAAAGCTATTTTTACCTAGCACTTCCTTTCTTGTGACTTTATACAGATAACATTGGCACAGGGACATTTTATTAGTAGTATATATTTTAACTTATGTGTAAAGTAGCTTAAAGAAATAATGGACAAACTGGTATTGTTTCATACTTGTTTCATACCCATTTCATACTTCTAAATGCAACTTTCCTGATGCTTGAGTGGTTAACATGTCCCAAATGCACATATTGTGGGGCAGTTGTAAGAAGCAGTTGTAAGAGTTGCAGACCTTCCATGACAACATAAATACTTTCTGTGATGCAGGCCTTGCATGACTACCTTCATCCAAGTTTTTTAGTGTTGTAGTGGATAACAATCTGAGAATATAAGCCATGAAGGTCTAAAACATTAACCTGTCAATAATCAGCACAAGTGCGGACACCTACATAGAGCGCCTGCTGGATCTCCATCTGCAATTTATC